GTACTTAACAACACTTGCATTTGATTTACAAATTGTTTGTGGACACTTTCATAACGCGGATGCAGGTAGGCAGCGTCTCGCATATATCGCTCTAGCCATAAAATGCCGAAACCACAAGCCTACTGCACCTCTATCTCTATCGATAGGAGGTAGAAACTGTGTACTTCCTGTCATCAAACGCTCCAAGCACATGCATACGAGAGGACCACAATCCCCTCTAGCTTCCGGCGTTTGTTGTAGCGCGGTCTCGTCTCTGATAACTGTAACATTGAACTTCTTTGGCTTCTTGTTTCCAGAATAAGTCCAATAATTAATCGCATCTAAGAATTTAGCCAAATGAGAGCTTCATCCCTTAATAATATCTCTCAAATCAGACAATGATATGTAATTTATCATGCTGTCATATACTATTGTGTTCAGGGATGGGAGCTGAAGCTCGACGAGAAGCAAATGAGTACGTTCTAAAACAGGGATAAACACCTGCAATCATAAGTAATAATTCAAATTGCGCACTTGTTTATGAACACCTTTAAAATATTTAAAAAAATAAATACTAACCTTATCGACCTCCCACCATGCAGGATAAAGTTTAGCTTGTCCATTAGCCAACACATATGATTCCTGTCGTTGATTCTTCAAGTGAACTACGTGAAAAGACGTCGGCATAATTATATATCGCGTATTTTTTTTCTTCAATTTCCTTACTATTAGCAGACGTGACACCCATGCATCAATATGCTGTTTTACAAAAAAAGACATATATTAGTGAATTACATAAATTTAAAAAAAATAATCAAAATGAAATATAAGAAGAAATATAAGACTTACCCCCCATCGAAATAGTCATTGTCTTCAACCCCTAATAACACACCCCACCAAGACCGTTCAATTAACAAATTTATATCATCGTTGAGTTTGTATATGTCAGCGTAACACCATTGGCTCCGCTCATGTAGATAAAAATCAACTGCGGTCTTAGCCCAAAGGGTATTATCTAGAATTGTTTCCGGTAGTTGTTTCCTCTCCACTTCATCTGCCGGAATGGTACTGGCCGGTAACTTATACAAAAGCCAACAGTCATCCATCATGTCCGGCACGTGAGGGGGTTTCTCAATAATTCGATATATTACGCCGTGTGAATCGGGATCTAGAATGTTGGGAGGGACCTCTTCAACGATGACAGTGGCCTCTTGAACGGTGGGAGGGGACTCTTGAGGGATGATAGGGGCCTCTTGAACGATAGGGGAGGCCTCCTGAACGATGACAGGTGAGTCGGGCTTTTTCTTACGGATTCTTCGTACTATTGGGGTGAACGGAGACGTAATGGCACGTGCACGCCGTCTGATGCGTGAACTCCGTCTTGCAAGAAAAACCCGACGTAGAGCATCCACCTTAGCGGGCCGCTAAAAATAAATTAATACATAAATCAGTAAATAAACAGACATGATATTAAACAGTGAAAACAAAGACAAATATATTTCAAACTTGCACGGTATTCACCCAACTCATTATTCTATCATTGTTCACAAAATGCATCAGATAACATTCCAGAACTAATCACTTATATAAACATTTAAAAGGAGAACATATAGGTTTTGTGCAGGTTCAATGACAACATAAAGAGTAGTAGTTTATTCTTGAAACTTAAATTTTCAACACTATGAAGTTAGTATTTGTCTTTGTCTTTTGGCTGAAGTAATGCAATTCATTCAAGTTTCAATTTGCAGAAGAAGAATAGAATATGAAACTTAAAATCGCAACACGAATGACTATCGCAACGCAAAAATGACTATCGCAATGCGAAAATGACTATCGCAACGCGAAAATGACTATCGCAACGCGAATTTAACTATCGCAACGAGAGAATCGCAATGCGATTTTCATTTCACATTGCGATTCTTTCGTTGCGATAGTCAAATTCGCGTTGCGATAGTCATTTTCGCGTTGCGAAAGTAAACTATTCTTCTTCTGCAAATTGAAACTTAAATGGATTACATTACTTCAACCAAAAGATAACCAAAAACAAATACTAACTTCACAGGGTTAAAGAATAAACAGTTTAGCAGTATTGGCAGCAATTGAATGAATTTACTAAGCAATCTAAGTGAAATGGTTAATCTAAGTGAAATTACGAGTAAATTTATCATCAAGTTAAATATGAAAAATATTAAACTTACCTCGTTGCGTAGAGTATGAACCTCATTCTGCAACGATGCTACCATCTCAAGTAGAGCGGCTACCTTACCACGTAAAGTAGACACCTCAACACGCCATGCACCATTGTCATCGCGTAAAGTACCGACCTCCTCACGCAAGGCATTGACCTCATCATGTAACTCCCCTAACTTATCCCGTGGAGGTGGAGAACAGGGAGATAAACGTCGTGGCATCGTTGTCGGTCGCCTATCATGAGGTGATGGTGGAGAAGAGGCTCGATGATGTGACATAATATGTGGTGGCTCTCGTTGTGGAGGTGTATAGTCGGGTCGATCAGGTGATGGCTCTCGAAGTGGAGGCTGCTCATCATCTGTGCCATCAAAAAAATGCTTACTAGCTTGCCACCAATCATTGGCATGGCAAGCTCAGCTTCCGTGGGTGTCAGCATCTGTAATGGAGTGTTGGCCTCCTAACAATATAAAAGCTCAAATAAAGTTAAACGTGTACTAGTAATAACTTGTTTATAAACATATAGTAGTAATTGTGTTAACTTACATTATTTATTGTCATATACGGTAGTAAATCTTCCCATTGCTACAAGGTCTGTTTCCTCTTCCAGGAAATAGCCCTAGGAATATCATTAGAAGTTTTTAATGCATATGTCTGCATGGCGGGAAATGCCTCAAATATCCAAATCTACAAACAATATAATAACAAACATTAGTAATTGTTAAATAATTAATTATAATTTTGGAAACATTATATAAAAATTCTTACCTTAAAGGCCCAAATAAAGCCTGACAAAGTGTATTTGGAACCATCGCCACACAAACTTTTTCGATCATCAAAGGCATACGACAACTTATTCCATGTAGCTTTCCATAGATACGAACCCCACAGAAACATGTTCCATGCATTTAGATCCTCTACCAATTTAATTAGATCATTAGAAATAGGTTGTCTGGCCTCTCTGCCTAAAAAGCCGGCATGCAAAAGTATTAGAAGACATACTCGGACAACATCGACGTTATCCATCCGAGTAAAACCATCTTTCTTATTCAATAATCTCGTCAAGTCTTCCACGTATAAATTCGGCTTCTCCATTGACAGCTCAGGAAAAACCCGGGATAACCATGATAGGCGGGTAATATGTCTAGTGTACCGACCTACATCATCGTGTCCGAAGCGTAGACCGGTGATTAAGCAAAACTCCTCCCGCCCAAAACACGCATACGCCGGTGGAAAATCAAACCATATCTCTTCATCACGACGTTGTATAGTCTCTGGTAGACCGCTAGTCATGGTTTGAAGAAACAGATGGGTCAACGTAGCATCTCCACCCAGATGTTGTACTTTCAGCCATGGCCCGAAGCAAGTATCCTCAAATATTTTTCTTTGTGCATGTGAAAGCTTCGACGCAATTGTTTTGGCCAGGCTTAATTTATTTCTTAAGGTCAATTGAGCCGAATAAAAGTTCTACAAAAATAATAAACATACCAAGTTTGATATACCAAAAACTACACTGTGAAGATATACCAAGAACAATAAACATAAAGAGTAGTAGTTTATTCTTCAAACTTAAATTTGTAACACTGTGAATTTAGTATTTGTGTTTGTTTTTTTGTTGAAGTAATGCAATTCATTCAAGTTTCAATTTGCAGAAGAAGAATAGTTTCTGAAACTTAAAATCGCAATACGAAAATGATTATCGCAACGCGAAACTAAAATCGCATTGCGATTCTGTCGTTGCGATTTTCATTTCGCGTTGCGATTCTCGGTTTCAAATACTAAAATTTAAACTTGAATGGATTGCATTACTTCAACCAAAAGACAAAACAAAGACAAATACTAAATTCACAGGGTTTAAAGACTAAACAGTTTAGCAGTATTGGCAGCAATCGAATGAATTTAATAAGCAATCTAAATGAAATGGTTAATCTATTATTGAAATTACTAGTAAACTTATCATCAATTTCAATATGAAAAACCTAATAATAATGCAAAATTTTCAAAATAAAAATAATTAAAAAAAACTAACCCTCGGTGGTTGATTTGGTTGATTTTCTATTTCTGAACGTGAATGATTGTGAGGGTGGCTCTGAGAGATGGAGATAGACGGATTTCACCGGAGATGAGGACTGATTTCGTTGGAGATGGGGACGGATGTCGCCTTAGAGAGTGAGAGATGGAGATGAGACTGAGTTGTGATTTAGGGTTCTAGGTTATGAGTTGCGATTACGGGATATACTGTGGACGGTTCAGTATTTCGATATATTAATATTCATGTTTGGAATTTGAAAAAAAAAATACGCGTTGCGATAATAATGGCGCTTTGAAAATCGCATTGCGATAGTCAGCATCGCGTTGCGACAGTCAGAATCGCGTTGCGATAATAATGGCGCTTTGAAAATCGCATTACGATAGTCAGCATCGCGTTGCGACAGTCAGAATCGCGTTGCGATAGTCAGAATCTCGTTGCGATAGTCAGAATCGCGTTGCGATAGTCAGAATCGCGTTGCGATAGTCATATTCGCGTTGCGATAGTCGGAAAATCGCAACGCGAATTTGAAAAATCATAATGCGATAGTCAGAATCGCGTTGCGAATCTGGAAACTGATTTGCGATATCGGAGATCGCGTTACGAATTATCGATCGCATCACGATTTAATTGGTCATTTTGGCAAATAAAAAAAATTGGTTAAAATCATATATTATAAGGTATTTTTGGTCACTGAAGTTATTTTATCATATAAAAATTCCTGTCGCAGCTGATTTATCTCTTGCACTTCGGTTGGTCTGGCGGCTTTTCAAAATCATAGAAATTCCTAGAAACCGCCAAACAACACCCACAAAGAGAAGCGAGATCGAGCGAAAAAGAGCAATCAAAACAAACGAAGAAACGATCTTGACACAAATTCCATATAAAGTTCATAACCCAATATTCTCGCCTCTCTTTTTTGATTTGTTCTTGCGATAAGAATCTCAAAGATCAGGTAAACAATCTCATATATCGACTATTTATTTTTGTGTATTCACTGGGTGCTTTAATGAATATATTAGATCAATAATAATTGTTCGTGTAGGAAAATGAATAAATGTTTCAAGGATTCTCGAGGTTCTGTTACTCTTTCGCGGAAATTTTTTCTATGTTGTACTTATTTGTTTGCCAACTATATAATTTGTTTAGGGTTAATATTTGGGTTAGTGTTTTGAATTTGGATTTGCCGTTTTGCAGGTTTCAAATCGACAATGGCCTCAGTAGAACAACAAGTGCCTGCTGGGGTTACAGCTCCTACTGCTGATGTTGTATGTTTCCTGAAGATACTAATTTTTTACCCATATTATTATTATTATTATTATTATTATTATTATTATTATTATTATCATTATTATTATTATTAAATATATATTAAATACATATATAAATAATTAATTACAGGCCCAATTACAACTGGACCGGCCCAGTTACAAACAAACCAGAACCGGTCCAGACCAACCAGAAACCCTAAACATTTGGGGGTTTCAGTTAGGGTTTCCTAAACCCTAATCCCAGCCGCCTCAGCTTGTTGCCGTTGGATCTGGCAAGATCCAACGGTCCAGATGGCTCCAGATGGAAACCCTAGGGTCTGATACATTAGGGCCACGCGGCCGCCGTTGCTGTTCTCGCCGCCTCCGCCGCTGCCACGTCCCAACCGAAGGCTCCAGAAGCTCCAACGCCAGCCGTCCACGCCATGGCTACGGGGTGAGTCACCACTGGTAGTCCGGTGACTCACCGAGACCCCCTCTTCGGACCGGTCCGATGGCCACACCGGTGGTGGCTATAAAAGCCACCACCCGAACCTGAAAAAAAAAAGAGACAGAGACAAAAAAAAGAGGAACAGAGAGAAAGATACAGAGAAACAAGAGACAAAACCGAGAAAAAAAATATATACAAAATACTACCAACGATCTCAGCAGCAAAGAAACAGAAAAAAAAGAAAAAGGAAGGAAAGAAACTTACCGAGGAAGCCTCGACCACCGGATCTCGCCGGAACCTTCGAAACACCGAAGGTACTTTTGTAGATTCGCTCCGATTAGGAGCTTTTTAAAGAAAAAGAACACCGGAAACATCCTTAGGACATCCCGATCTATTTAATGGTGTAAAAAATAATTTTCCGGCCACCGGATGCGGTGGCCGGCGGTGACGGTCACGGCGGCAGACGGTTGCCGTCCGGTGACCGGCTTCCCTCCGATGAGGGAAGCTAGAGAGAAGCCAGAGCTCTCTCTGCTTGAGAGAGAAAGAAAAAAAAATGAAATGAAGCTGGCCCTTCGGGCCAGCCGGTTTTGACCTTATATAGGCCTTCCCGAACGACGTCGTTTCGGGAAGGACTATGCGCGTAATTAGATAATAGTTAAACCCCGTCTGCAGTCCTTCTAACTTGTAAACTTTACATTTTAGTCACTAAATCGAATTCATAATACTTTTAATTTGATCTCGAAATTTTAATTTTATTTATTTTAGTCCTTTATATTAAAATAATATATATTTAGGATAAATAACAAATTTAACCCCTTAATTTTAATAAATAATATTTTAATCCCTAGTTTATATTTTTAATTTATTTTATTATAATATCCGAATTTTAGATAATTTTATTTTAGTCACTAAATTATCAAAAAAAGAAAATAGCATGTTTAATCCCTGTAATTCTGATTAATTATGAATTAGGTTTTTCAATTTTAATTTCACTATATTTTAGTCATTTATTTTATGTATTTTTTATTGCTTTTAAATATATAGTTAGAATTGTATTTTTTTTACTTGTTTATATATTTAAATATTGTATAAATATATAATAAATAAATATTTATTTTAAATAAATTATTTTAATATTTAGTTTTCAATATCAAAGAAAAGGACAGTCTTAAAACAACTGGATGTCCTATTCTGATATTTTAAAATTAAAAATTAAACAATATTATTTAAATTAATATTTATCAATATCAAAGAAAAGAGCTGTCTTAAGGCACCTAGAAGTTCTTTTCTGATATTTTTAAATAAATAAATATTTTTTATATAATTTTGAAATAATAGGATTATAAATTAAATTATATTTTTGAATTTTTAAATTTTAATAATAAGAGACAATTTATAATTAAAAAGTACCAATTTTGGGCGTTGTAGGGGTGCTAATCCTTCCCTAAACGTAATCGACCACGAATCCCTTTTTATTATTAAAAAGAACGAATTTTTGGTTATAAACGCAGATCAGTTCATCTTTTAACTGATGTTTTCTTAAAAACTCTGTTAAAAGATAATTTTTAGGTATTCGACCTACCTAACCCAAAAGGCCGATGGCGACTCCCAAATTATTTATTTTCAAAACTATTTATTCACTTCAATTTTCCCGCCAAATAAATATTTCGTGCCCGGACGAAAACCGGTTACGACAGCTTGGCGACTCTGCTGGGGACTCGGTCAAACTTTTAAAAATCAATTATAAATTGTCTCTATTAATTAAAAATTAAAAATTCATATATTTAATTTTTAACTCTTTCTTGTCAAATTTTTTATTTGTTTATTACTTTTATAATATTTTATATGTTTTATTTTATTTGCAAGTATTTTATTTCATTATTTATTTTTCTGTAAAAGGTTTGAACATTTCTCCTCACACACAACACTTGCATTGCATTACATAAAGCTCTATAATTGAGTTGTCCCTTTTAAGTGGGAGTGAAAGCGACGTCTTCGTGAGAATTTATTCTCCGTGTCAGACCTAGCAAGTAACTTTCGGGGTTCATATGCTCTATGTCTTCGTGAGAATTTATTCTCCATGTCAGGCATAGAGAAATGTATCCCCTCGAATTGAACTCGATCCACTTTAGTCTGTGATGGACTAGGATTGACGGTTAGCAGCCTAAGGGGGCACTAACATGGACAATTCGAGTACCTTTACTCCTAGATCTGAAACCCTGCATATAAAAAAACCTTAGAAACTCTTCCAATCCGAAGTCATGCCGAAATTTTGTCTAAAATAGGTGTACACATAGGAGAAATGAATTCTAAACTTTCTTGTTTATTTATTTTCGTTAATGATTAAATTACATGTATATTTAAATTATTTAAATTTAGAAAAGCATGTTTAAATAAAAAATATTTATGTAAATGTTATTATTAAATTTCTTTATTATGTAAACTAATTTATTTTCTTTTTTGTGTGTTCTTTATTTTTCTGTTTGCATAACATCATACAGGATAAAAGACATTGATCCTTGTGTTAATTGTCTCATTGGAAAGCCTTCATCTATGGATAAAAAGTGTTCAAATCAAGTAATTATAAACTCAGAAGTAAGACAGTGGGCTGAGGACTTACAAAGACAAGAAGGAGACAGTCTGCAGGATGATTATGTATCTGACTTGGCCAGTTATGCTCCAGTTTCACTAAAAAGAAATGATATGCAAGATTTGTGAAGCATTTGGGAAAGTTGGGATTCAAACAAAAAATTGCAGTTTTATCAGACTTACGGAGACATCCCATATTTGCTCTATGTAGAAGTTGATGATGAATTACTCAGAGCCCTAATTCAATTCTGGAATCCAGGGTACAATTGCTTCACTCTCAATAAAGAGGATTTGGTCCCTACTATTGAAGAATACACAACTTTGCTACATATAGATGGGGCTTTGGAGAATCGAATCTATTCAAAGTCAATTAAAACTCAACCCTTTCGAGTTAAATTAGCAAAGATTGTCGGGGTACGAGAAGAATGGGTGGCATCCCGTACAAAACAAAAAGGCGAAAGCGAAGGCATTGCTTGGACCAACATTAAAGAACTTATTCAGAGTCATCCAGATATTAAAGTACGATTCGATTTATTTGCTCTGGGTATGTATGGTATGGTCATCTTCCCAAAAGTATTGGGATATGTTGAAGCTGCAGTGGTAGATTTGTTTGAACAGCTACCGAAAAAGATTAATCCTGCTTCTGCAATCCTAGCAGAGACCTTCAGATCGTTAAATGCTTGTAGAAAGATAGGAGGTGGACGATTTTCAGGGTGTACCCAGTTGTTATATGTTTGGATCTGTAGTCATTTCTGGAAGACAGAAAAGGTTTCATACCGACGCTTTAATACGGATTACTCACCATTAAAAGAATTTCTGGAGCAGGAATGGCCGAAAGAAATTAAGAAAGATATGTGGATCAATGCCTTTCGAAATCTGCAAAGCAATGACGTTGTTTGGCGAGCCCCGTGGCAAATACAAAGGGAATTCTTTTACAAATGTGGAGATTACAACTGGATAATACTGCTCGGTTTATGGGGAGGAATTGGATATGCACCACTTCTGGTCATAAGACAGTATGAAGGTCGTCAATTTGTACCTGTCACTGCTGGGTTACAGTCATCTGAATTCGCATTCCACAGCAAAAATTATAAAAGAAGTATCATGGAAGCCGTTACAGCTTGGAAAACAACTTTTTGTATCCGAGCTAAAGCAGCAAAAGAAATGCTAACTCCTGATTATGAAGAATGGAGATCTGTCAGAAAAAACGAAAATATTCCTCTACCAGATCAAAATGAAGATATCTCTATAGAAGATCGCATTAAGGTGGTTCCGTCAGAGATTGAAATCTTGAGAGATGAGTTTGAAGCAGAAAGAGAAGGCTGGTCGAAAGAATTAGAGCAAATGAGACAAGATAAAGCTATGTTGGGGGTTGACATTGACTTGCATTCATCACAATGTGCAATGTTGAGAAAAGATAAAGAAAAAGGTGATGATGAGTACAGAGCCTTACAGAAAAATTACCAGGAGTTATATAAATCCCGAAAAGCATCAGGATCAAGCCAATCAACGGTACAGAAGACCCGAGATTTGAACATTGAGAAAAGACGAGTTGAAGATCTGAAAGGAAAGAATAGCCGTTTACTCAAAAGCCTTGAAAAAGGAAAACAAAAAATGGAAGATTTTGAGGTCGACAGAAGAGAGCGAATTATAAAACACAAGGCTGAACACCGTGAGATCATGAATGAAATGCAAAGAGAAATGGATCGAGCCAAAGATTTAGAAGATATGAAGAATGACATCTTTGTTAAATTTGAAGGTGAGAAAAATATCATGTTCAAAGGATTTGAATCTGAAATGAACCAGTTAATTGCTGAACTTGAAGTCAGAGGCCAAAAGATGGAAGAATCCAATATTGAAAAAGAAAAATGGGAGTTAGAAAGAAAAAATTTCAACACCAGACTTGAGGTGGAGTAGGAAATGGCTAGCAATTGGATGCAAAGATGCAGAAACAAGGATGTTCAAATCCAGAAGCTTAATC